AAATAGGGAAGGGTGGAGGGCGTGAAGGGAGGGCTAGGAATGGGGAAAAAATAAGAACCAAGATGCATTATATAAAGGTACAGTTCCCAATGAGAAATGTAATTGTGTTGTATACCTACAATGTGCCAATAAAAGAATTTAATACCAAAAAAAAAAACAAAGCTAAAAATAAGGACTAACAAAAACACAATTTTTAAAAAACAAAATCATGAACAACATTAACTATCCAGCTCAAAAGTAAATGCAAGTTCAGCTACATGCAAAAATATGGTTCAAGGTCATGAATATGTTACTGAACAATAAAAGCAAGTCACAAAATATACACCGAAGTTCTATTTACCTGAAGTACAAAAATAGTTTTTGTTTTTTAAAGATATAAAACAGAGTTCTAGAAATCAAAGCAGTAAATTTACTAACTCTGAAGAGAAAAGACTTCAAAGGAATGATGATGTTCTTATCTTAAGCACAACTCTGTTTCTGAATACACCCTTCAAAAAGACAGAAAACTTGAGAAATTTTACTACATAAATCATAATACCTCATATATAATTTGTCATCAATTCCAGGGAATTTCATTTATCTTCTAAACATGGTGTTTTTAATTTTTATTTTATTTATTTATTTTTTGGTACCAGTGATAGAACTCGGAACCTTGCGCTTGTGAGACAGGCAGTGGAACCACTGGGCTAAATTCCTGGCCCAACATGGTGTTTTTTAAAAACTCATGTAAGATCCCAACACGCTGGGAGGCTGAGGCAGAAGGGTGACATATTCAACCCCAGCCTGGGTAACTTGAGAACCTGTTTCAATAAAAAATAAGCGGAATATAACTCAGTGTGAAAGCTGTGGGTTCAATCCCTAGTACCACACACACCAAAAAAGTTATGTAAGAAAACATTTTGTGTTGGGGTAGGGATTTAGCTCAGTGGCATTGTGCCTGCCTAGCAAGCACAAAGTCCTGAGTTTGATCCTCAGTAACGAGAAAAAAAAAAGACAAAAGAAAACATTTTGTATACATAACTTCAGATTCTTAAAACCAGTATTTAGTTATACACTTAAGTATAACATTCTTATTAACATATACATAAAACTCAGAACTGATCACTCTTACTTAAAAGACTGTTAGACAAACTCTATACCTGAAACAAGTTTTTAACATATGAAGGGCACTGAGTAATTTCAACAAATAATTATTATTATTGTTACAAAAGATGCCCTAATATTACCTGGGACAAGATTCAAAGGTAATCTTCTAGGTGAAATTGCTCTGGGGTGCTGCTTACTAATTTCTTCATAAATCTGAAGCCTCTCTTCTAAAGTGCCTATTATCAGTAAACATGTATGAGATTCATAGTATCACGACATTTATCTATATTAAAACACTAATAAACTTTAAAATTTGTTATAAATGAAAGCAGCATTTGTAACATTAAAGCTGCTCTCAATTTTGGCAAGAATGAGATCTAAAATTCTATGGTAGTTAAATATTATAATCAGTAAATCATCATTTAAAACCCAGTCTCTGGGGATTTCCAACCCTTCTTTCATCACAACATATTCTATATCCAACTCATATTATGAAACTCACATATTACACAAAGATATGCTGCACTCCTTAAACTCCTACCAGTTAATTATTCTTTTTTTTTTTTTTTTTGGTACCAGGGATCGAACTCGGGTCCTTGCGCTTGCGCAGCAGGTGGCGAAACCACTGAGCTAAATCCCCAGCCCCTAGCAGTTAATTATGAAATAAAAAATCCTTTTATAACATCTTTTATATTACACATGACATTCTAAACCAATGAAGCCTAATATATCCCCATAACAGTCTACAAAATCTATTCATTAGGCTTATAGAATCAACAGTTTTAGGATCATGACTGCAATCACCTTACAGTTTAAAAGGTGAAATTTATTCCTATGGTTGCTTTGACATTTAAAAGTCTTCAATGAGGGCCGGGGGTTTAGCTCAGTGGTTCCGCCACCTGCCTCGCAAGTGCAAGGTCCCAAGTTTGATCCCCAGTACCAAAAAAAAAAAAAAAAATCTTCAATGAGCTGGCTGAGGTGGAACATACCTGTAATCCCAGATACTCAGGAGGTTGAGGCCAAAGAATTTTAAGTTCAAGCCCAGCCTAGGCAACTTAGTGAAACCCTGTCTCAAAATAAAAAAATTTTAAGAAGGATGGGAGCAGGATGTGGTGGTGTGTACTATCTGTAATGCCAGCACAATGAGAGGCTGAGAAAGGAGGATCACAAGTTCAAGGCCAGTCTGGGCAATCTAGCAACTTAGCAAGACCTTGTTTCAAAATAATAAAAACAAAAATTTTAAAGGGATGTAGCTTAGTGCAAAGGCCCTGGGCTCAACCCCTAGTATCACTCAAAACAAAACAAAATCTTCAATGAATCTTGGTTATAAAGAATACCACTAGTCCAGATTCTTTAGAGTGGCAATTATTTCTCCCAAATGATGCAGAATGTACTACTAACAGAAGTATCTTCCCTCCCATGAACCACCTAGTTTTACACTAACACACAGAGGATTTACACGTAAACTATATATTATTCTGCAACATCAATATCTACAGTAGGATCTGACTATAAATCATCATTCTAAATAAGGTTCTGCATAATTTACAAAGGTAGGTTATTTTATATAAGCAATAAGACAATTTACAATAGACTTTTTTTTTTTTGGTACCAGGAATTGAACTCAGGACCTTGCGCTTGCCAGGCAGGTGTGGCTCCACTGAGTTACATCCCCAGGCCCCTTCAACAGACTCTTAAAAAGCAAACATATCTGTTTTTAAACTAGAAAGTTTTAGTGGATTTTAATTCACAATAACCCTTGGGGCTAGCAAACAAGGTATCTTCAGAGTAAACGTAGTGTTTAATATCAAGATTATGAAAACACTGTATTTTTTGCAGAGGTAATGTTTTACTTTGTGTAGACTCATTTCTTCCTCCAGTAATATGTTTTGGAGCTCCAATGTGGTTGAATTTTTAAAACTAAGACATCTATAAAAATAATTTTTCACATTCTGTTAATGATTTGGATACTTCATGAAATATTAAAGACTCATTAAATTTTAAAATAAAGATTACTGGGTATATTTAACAAAACGTTCTCATATTTATTCCTAATCTTAGAGAACAAGCTGTATTAAAAAAAGGTTTCTTCACTAATTCCAGATAGAAGTGTTGTAAGCTAAATTAAAATAAAATGATACCCTTGCAGTGACTTGAGTCACAAGGTGGAGCTCCAGAGCTTACCACAGGGGAGGAAAGATCCTAAGAAACTTAAAAAGGTAAAGTAGGGTAACTAGTTTTGTGGTCAACACAGTTTATATTAACTAAGGATCTTGACACATGAAACAGTGCATTCACCTTACTAAAACATTTAAAAACTTATTATTATTCATTGCAATGTCAGTAACTAGTAGTTTAAAGCAAAACCATAGTTATTGCACTTCCAACCTTTTGGCAATGTGACTTTTCTCCTGTTTTTATGAGATTACTGATTTAACCAGTATTTTCTAATTATTTTAATGTAATCTAAAAACTATTTAAGGAAATACTGTGGTTTCATAATTACTTCAAGCAATATTAATAGGTAAATATGATTTCAGGAATATTACCTGCTCTAAACAATAATTATGAAAATATCAGGGAAAATTTGGAATAATACTCTAGATATTTGAAAAGAGTAAGGGCTACGGACTTTCAAAAGATTAATATTTTTTCTTCATAAATTGGCCTAACTTGAAATTAAAAGAATAATTTTCCTGTTAGTGCTATATATTATATAGCTTCAACAGGATTTCTTTGCCTCAATTCTTATATTATTTTGTTTTGGGGGCTTTATTTTTTTGAGACAGGGTCTTGCCATGAAATTCAGGCTGGTCTTGAACTCACTATGTTCAAACTTGCAGCTATTCTACTGCCTCAGTCTCCCAAGTGTATCAATTCTTATATGTAAAGGTTTTCTATATTAGAGGGAAACAGACCTCTAATAATTTAAAAATATTATGATGTTTCCCAGAAAATGAATGCTCATTTTCTTCATCAGCTCTGTAGCTACTGTTACTTAGTAAGACTTTAATGGGCCAAAGAATTTAAAATTATGTGTGAGCATTCTCATTTAAATGTAACATCTGAACTAACTTCCACATTTAACCTATAATTTTACTAAATAAAAAAACAAGTAGGGCTGGGGATTTAGCTCCGTGGTTTCACCACCTGCTGCGCAAGCACAAGGACCCAAGTTCAATCCCTGGTACCAAAAACAAAACAAAACAAAACAAAAAAGTGCAAATGGTAAAATTGTTCTCAAGTACTATTACAACTTTACATTTTATTATACTTCAAACACTAGCTAAGAAAAGGTAGAGAGAAAAATCATTACATACTAAGTTGTAGAGATTTTTCCAAGCCTTCATAATAATACCAATTTTCTGCATTCTGATCAATCAAGTTTTTGAATACTTCACTGGCTTCTTTTAATCTTCCCAATTTCAACAGTATTTCTCCTAAAATTAAGTTGAAAGTCACATTCATTTTACTTAGACATTAAATATTTTTCTAATCCCAGAGATTTTTACTAAATATTATTACTGAATTGATGTTTATGAAAGACCATGTGTTTCTTCTTGGGACATGACTAAACACAGATTAATCCACAACTTGCCTTCAGAAAAGAACCTTTATTTATACATTCTATCATGTTAACATTCATTTTTGGCTCCCTCTCACTCCCCAAATATACACATAGGATATAACTTATTAAAAAATCTTTGCAATATACACATTTTATACACCCTTTGTGAGAAGTAAAGTCCTTCCCCTAGACAGCAAAATTAGACTGGCATATAATTTTAATGAAATATGCCTACCTTCCTACTGCCAAGATTTAAATGTATCTTTCCTGGTCAGTTCATATATTAAACAATTACCACTCAATTCTGTTTCTTTTTAAGGTCATTAAAATTGGAAAAGTTAACTTAGAAAAATTGTAACACCACACACCACTTCATAGAAAAAAATGACACAAGCCATGTTCATGTGCCAATCACCTCTATGGTTCAAATCCTTTTACTAAATCACAAAAAATTCAAAGTGGGTGTGGAGAATGAGATGCTAAATCTCTCAGATACAATGGGAAGCACACCTAAACCAAGATAAAAAGAGAATCTCAAAAATGCACATACTTCAGATTCCTGTTCCAATATTTCCCATTCTCCAAAGAATCTATTTCAAATAACCCTTTGAAATGTCTCCAACACTATTCCAGCATTCGCCATATTGGAGAAGACAGCATATAAGATGGTTCTACATACTATTATTTTTCTCTTTACAAGTATCATCAATAAGACTAAACTAGGTTTAATTACAATCTCCACCTTTATTACATTTGTGATCTTGAGCAAGTAGTAAGTCCTGGTATAAAGGAGATATGCATAAATGTTGGCTACTTAAAAAAAAACTATAAACATGTCCTATTCCTTCATCCTCAATTATTTTCTGGCCAGTCCAATTATTATCCTGATATAATAAACAACAGCACATTTTTCATTTCCAACAGCATCTGTTATTCGCTACCACCAAGAAGCAAAGGTTACTACTGGAGATATACAGGATTAAGTACACACACATATTCATAAGTATGTGAAAACCAACTTGCGAAGTTTTTAAAAAGATCTTAAGCTAATTAGTCCAAGGATATAAAGGCGTATTAGCTGGACTTGCAAAGTACCCTGAAAAAAATAAAAATAATACCATAACCTGGCATAGAGAAAAGTGACTATTTATAAGATTAACAGTCCCCAAATTACCATCACTAGCAAAATACAAGTGAATGTGGCTATGAGGCAATTTGCAGAATTTTAAAACTAGAACTGATCTCACCATATTGTATTTACTTTTTGGTACCACGGATTGAACTCGGGTCCTTGCACTTGCGAGGCAGGCAGCAGAACCACTGAGCTAAATCCATGGCCCCCTTGTAGTTACTGGGGGTTTTTTTGGCACCGGGGATCAAACTCTGGTCCTTGCGCTTGTGCAGCAGGCGGCAAAACCACTGAGCTAAATCCCCGGCCCTTTAATAACTATTTCTTATTGATGCCATAAGACAAACAGTAACCCGAGTGTTTAGATCCAATTACAAAATAACAATATTTCAGAAAAAATAATTGCCCTTTTTATTTCTCTAATTATATCAATAGTCATCATAAACTAATCACAATAAAAACTAAATCAGTCAGGTGCTATACATGAACAAGTATAGTATAGCAGAAAGCTGAGCATGGTGGCACACACCTATAATCCCAGCACATGGGAGGAAAAGAGAGGGGGATTGTCACGAGTTCGAGGCCAGCCTATACTACATATTGAGACCCTGTCTCAAAAAAAAAAAAAAAAAAAAGACTACAGTAGTATAAGGGGTCATGAAAAGACATGAAGAACCTTAAATGTAAGTCTAAGTAAAAGAAGTCAATCTGAGAAAGATTCAAACTATATTGCATTTTGGAAAAGGCAGAACTATGGCAACAGTAAAAAGATCAGTGGCTGCCAACAGTTAAAAAGAGGGAGGATGGACAGATGAAGCACAGAATTTTAGAGCACTGAAATTAAGACTTGGTATGACACTAAAATAGTGGATATATGTCATTATATATTTGTCAAAATCTATACAATGACAATGGAAGATGCTGTGGGTATCCAGGGACCAGAGACACATGGGAAGCCTCTGTGCCATTTGCTCAATTTTGCTGGGCTCTGAAAGTGTTCTAAAAACTATAGTCTACTTTTTTTCATGGTGCTAGACATCAAACCCAGGGCCTTGTGCATACAGGACAACCAACCTACCACTGAGCAATACTCTGGTCCCATAAAGTCCATTAAAAAACAAAAAGTACGTACCTGAGGTCAGAAAGATGTGCAGGTATGTTTAGAAACTAATTCTACCAACTAAAAGAATGGGTGATTTTGGAAAAGTCATTAACTTAGTACCCATCCTAAAAGTACTAAAAAATTAAATAAAGCATTTAAAGCAATTAGCATACTACATGATTTATAAATGAATTATTTTAAAAAAGTTTCAAACTAATTCTTTTGGACATTCTTAATACAGTGTTCAGGGATGGGTAACAAGTTCTAGTGAAAAACTGTGTTAGACTCTATCTGATGAACACTGCTAAAACTATTCATAGGGATTATGCCTTCATAATTAGCCCATAGTAGAAGCTATGTAAAATCCAATGACTCCTATCATCATGGACTACCTTTCTTAATGTGTTTTACTATGTGTGAATAGACACACTTGATGTGAAGGGAGTGCAACATACTGCTGAAGCGAACAGAATCTAGGCTCAAATCCAGGACTGTTCAGTTTAATAAGCAATGTGATTTGGGGCAAGTCATTTAACTTATATTTTAATCAATAATTTGAAAAATCATATTGCCATCAATAGTGTTATTAATACTAATCACAGTAAAAACTAAATTATTCAGGTGCTACACATTAACAAGAATAGTGTATAGCTGTTAAAAGTAAGGGGTAATAGGAACAATACATTCCTATAATTCCAGCTTTCAGGAAGCTAAGACAGGATGATCACCCTAAGTTCAAGGACAGCCTGGGCTACAAAGAAAATTCAAGGCCAGTGAGTTCAAGGCACTCTCTCAAAACAAAAATAAGGGGTCATGTTCCTCAGTCTCCTTCATTTTTGAAATTTATACAACAACTACATTATAGGGTTGTTCTAAAGATTAATAATCATTCAATAATAGTACTTAGACTACCACCTGATACACAGCATGTGTTACTGAAATGTTAGGACTGAATAAAATAAGTAGTTTTTGTTCTTTAGTTGAGTCCATTAAAAAAGAAAAAGCATGTTAACTTACCCTTAATTTCTTCCACCGAAAGTTTATCACATATTTGTTTCTCATATGTTTCTATATGTTTCAAAGATTCCTGAAACAGATCTGCCTCCCTCATCACTTGATTCTGATACAGTATCAGCTCACTATATTCATAGTCTATTTTGTTGGGAGGAACCTGCAAGAAAGGCACCAAATTATGTTATCTATGTAATTACATAAAGCAGGTACACATCCTTAATCAAACTCTTTTCTCAGAAGAGCTACTTACAAAGACTTAAAGAAACCCACAAGCAGTTACAAATGGAAGCATGGTTAACAGCACAGAAGATTACAATCTTCAACAAATGAAGATACAGGACTGGCCAAGCAAACAGATCAGCAAATCTTACACCCAAGCATAAAAATGGTTAAAATTCTAAGGCATCTGCCAAGTATGGTGGAGTACTCCTATAATCCCAACATTCTGTGAGGCTGAGGCAGGAGGACCTTAAGTATGAATCCAGTCTGGGCAACTTAGTAACACTGTCTCAAAATAAAAAATCAGAAAGGGCAGAGGCTGTGGGTTCAATCCCCACTACAAAAAACAAATAAAAAATCAAAAGCAACAACAACAACATCAACAAAACAACTGAGGAATCTATCAAAAGAACTACTAGAACCAATAAAAGGACTCTAGAAAGGTCACAGGACAAAAGATCAATATACAAAAATCAGTTGTATTTCTATACACTAACAATGAACAACCCAAAGATGAGATTAAAAGATTTCATTCACAATAGCATCAAAAGGAACAAAATATTTAGATAAACGTAAGAAATAAAACCTATATACTGAAAACTGCAAAATACATCAAGAAAAATTAAAGACCTAAATAGAGATAGTCCATTCCACACTGGTAAAATCCCAGTTCTTCTCAAATTCATCTATAAATTCTTCCCAAATTCAATTTCTAATTTTTTCTTCCCCAAAATCTCAGCAAACTTTTTCACAGAAATCAACAAGCTGATCCTGAAATTCATATGGAGATGAAAAGGACTTAGAAAAGCCAAAACAATATCAGAAAAGAAAATATTAAGAGAATAAACATTTCAAACTTATTGTAAAGCTACAATAATTAAGACATTGTAACACTGGCATAAAGACAAACCCAAAGATCAATATAAGAATATAAGATCCAGAAATAAATTGTTATATTCAACTGATTTTTAATTAAGGTATCCAGAAATGATGCTGGGAAATTAAATATTCACATGCAAAAATATTACCTTCAGTGGGACATGGTGGTACACGCCTGTAATCCTAGCACTTTGTGAGGCTGAGGCCAGAAGATCTCTAGTTCAAGCCCACCGTGGGCAATTCAGAAATTTTGTAAGACCCTTCTCAAAATTTCCTATTTAGAAAAGTAAGCTCTCTATTAGTGCTCACTTAATTTTACATAAATATGCTCTTTGGGGCTGAAGCAAATCCAACTGGTTTTCAATGGGAAAATAAAATCTAAAAACTATTCTTAAGAGTCATTTCTAAAGAGAACTTGTCTTTAATCCTAACATAACAGAAATCTGTATGATGATCAATATTTTAAAAATTTTTAATGTGGTAAATTTCAAAGCACAGAAACACCATGAAGTAGAACATCATATTCTACACAAAAATACTGGATTTCTCTTCGGATCTTCTTTCCATCCTTGTTGTGTAAGCAGCAAACTGCAGCAACCTGAAGAATTCCGTTTCTCTCCCATTATGCATACAAATGCTACATTTTCTAGGATCCAATGTTTTGTCAGCAATAGTGTACTATATTTTGTAAATGGAAAAACCACTACTAAAACCTAAATGTTATTTTAAAACACGGTGTCTTTTGTTTCCAATGATTGTCAATATACTAGAGCAATGTGGAAATAATAACAAAAGGAAGATATTTTGTGACAAACTGGGGTAAGGTTAGGACTTTAATACATTAGTTATCTCAGGGTAAATGCTACAGCCACAAGCATCACAGGCAAGTATTTTCAAGGCAAATGCAAATGGGTTGAAAAAGGTATAGGGAGGCAGCTCAGTGCAAAGGCCCTGGGTTCAATCTTCTATACCACCAAAAAGAAAAAGAAAAAGAAAGTAACAGAGTTGGGCTTGGTGTTGTATCCCTATAGTCCCAGCTTCTAAGGCTGAAGTAGGAGGCTGAAGTAGGAGGCTGGCTTGTCTACAAGTTCAAGGCCAGGCTGGACAACATAGTGAGCCTATATTTCAAAAAATAAAATTAAAAAATATAAACCCAGGGCCAAGGATTTAGCTCAGTGGTTCCGCCACCTGCCTTGCAAGCACAAGGACCTGAGTTCGATCACCAGTACCAAAATATACAAATATACCCATAAAAACAAGAAGAACACGTAAGATTTCAATAAATTTCTGGGAGGTGGAATGCAAATAAGGAATAAGCTATAAAAAGGAAATCACTAGAAAAAGTGAGTCCTTCCCATGGAAAACCTCAGACAGAGTTTAAGATTATATAATGATGGAGAAACAGATATGAGACTTCAGGCTACAGTGTTAACTAACAGTATGTGACCCAACTCCCACATTATCTCTATCAACTCTGCAGTCAAACCCAAGTGAAGAATATCCTACCAGAAAAGTACAATTCTCCAAAATAAAATCCAGAAAATGGACACTAAAGCAGGAAAAAAAAAGAAGAAAAAGAAAATAACAAAAATCTTGTCAAATTAAAAACAAGGTTGCCAAATAAAAATTTTAGTGAAAGATTTAAAAGTAAATGCATTCCTGCCTATGATGGTAGTGATGACGGTTATATGAATCTACAAGTGTTAAAATTCTAGAATTACAAATCAAAATAAGGTCAATTTTAATGTATAATACTTTTAAATAGATTTAAAAACAAGAAGGAAATCCAGTAAATGTATACAAAGTAGAATAAAAAGACAAGAAGATTGACAAAAGTTAAAGGAGGGGGTAAAGACAATCTAGGATGATACTATCAAACTAATAAGTGTTCCAAACAAAAGAAATAAAGTACAGAAGAAACGATCAAAGAAACATTCCAGGATAGCATCTGAGAGCTCAAAAACATACTTTGGCTTTCAAGGCCCACTAGAGCAATAATGACAGCCTTAAGCTCAACACTTATACACATCCTGGTAAAATTTCAGAACACAAAAGTTAAAGATTCTTTTGGAAGAAACACACACATATACACATATGCACACACGCACACATGCACACATACACACACACAACAGATCACTTAAAAGACTCCAGGAATCAGACTACTGATTGGCAACAATAGGCACCTTCAAAATTCTATGGAAATATTATCTATCTACTTAGAATTCTGTAACAAGTACAAGGATAAGATAAAGACAGTTTCAGATACACAAGAGGTTGAAAATTTACTGTCCCATACCCTTGCCTAGACAGTAACTAAAGGACATATTTTAGCAAAATAAGGTAAATAAAGAAATAACATTTTCAGGAAAAGACTAAAACCAATCTTGGCTCAGAGGGGGACAGAGGTATATAGGAGAAAAAGTTCAATAAAATATATCTAAAGACTGAGAAAGCCCTGAAGCTCTAAAAAAGGCATAAATTATAAAAGAAAAAAAAAGAAAAATTTTAAATTCTTAGAAAAATCTTAAAGTTGCCAGGTGTGGTAGTGCACACCTGTAATCCCAACAAATTGAAGGTTGGCCTGGGCTACACAGTAAGTTCAAGGCCAGCCTAAACTACATAGCAAAACCTTGTCTCCCCCCAAAAAATAAATTAATGAATTAAAAGAGAATATTATGAAAACTGTAAGACAACAAATAACCCAGATAAAATGAACTAATTCCTAGAAAAACACAAACTACCGAAATTGACTCAAGAAGAAATAAAAAATCTGAATAGACTTACAGCAAGTAAGAGAACCAATTAGTAATAAATTTCCCACAAAGAAAAGATCACATGGTATCACAAGTGAATTCTACTGAATGTTTACAAGTCCTTTACAAACTCTCTAAACAGATTTCACTTTACAACTCATCTAGTGAGGCCAGTATTACCCTAATACCAAAAACAGACTTGGACATCAAAAGAAAACTACAGACTAAAATCCTTTAACCTAATAATCAAGGAAACACAAATTTTAAAAAATGAGACACCTGGGTATGGTGGCACACCCCTGTAATCCCAGCCCTTGGGAGGCTGAGGCAGGAGGATCCCTTCAAGTTCGAGGCCAGCCTGGGCTACATAGTGAGTTCAGGCCCAGCCTGAACTACAAAGGGAGACCCTGCCTCAAAAAACTCAAAAAAACAAACAAAAAAAGAAAAATGAGATACATAATTTCATCCCTACAAGATTGGTAAAAAATTTAAAAAAGCTAACACTACACCAGCAAAGATACAAAGCAACAAAAACTATAAAACCCTGCCAGTAAGTATTAAATTAGTAAAGCTACGGGCCAGGGATTTAGCTCAGCGGGATCTCACCTGCCTCACAAGCACAAGGTCCCGAGTTCGATCCCTGGTACCAAAAAAAAAAAAATTAGTAAAGCTACTTCCCAGAGTGATGACACAAGATTTACGTGGCAAAGCTGAAGATAAGCACAGAGATCTACAATTCGAGTATTAAATTTACACTAAAGACAAACTCATGAGCGTGCCCAAAGAAACAGCAGAAAAGAATATTTACCATAGCACTATTTTTAATAAAGTAGAATGAACTGTTTATTTATATAATGGAACACCAAACAGTAGTTTAAAATGGATAAACTATCCCAACATGTAGTAACATGGATATGTCTGAAGAAATACTGAATGAAAAAACCTATTATTCAAGTTTTTGGATTTGTTTGTTTTGGTTTTTTTGACACATCTTGCTATGGAGTTCAGGCTGGCCTTGAACTCACTATGTAGCCCAGGCTGGCTGCAAATCTCCTGCATTTAACCTCTGGAGTACTGGGATTACAGGCATGTGCCACCATGCCTAGCTTATTTATGTAAATTTTAAAATACAAAATACATTTTAAAACAGCATATGTTTTTATCAATTTATGCATAATATAAACAGGACAGGTGATGATCTATATACCATTGATGGCAACCCTTTTAGAGCTTTCATAACATAACAAACAGCTGACTGTGGCACGGATGTCATAGGTTTACCACCAGTGACCTATACCAATTTCAGAATAGTGTACCTCTGGAAAGGCACACAGGAGTATTTTAGCCATTTCTGCAACATTTTATTGTTTTTAATAATGAAATCTGGAGCAATCATGTAAAATGTTAATATTTAATTTCTCTGATGATACACAAGTATATGCTTTCACATTTTTCTGTTTTACATATAAATACATTAAAATGTATTTATATAAAATAAAGTTATATACATATTAATTTGTTTTGGTAGTGCTGGGGATCAAACCTAGTACTGTATCTTGTGCATGCTAAACAGGCACTCTAGTACTGGGGTACATCTTCAGCTACATAAAGTAATATACATACGTTAGAGAAACAATTCTACAACTCCAATACTATTTTTATTTTTACATATTTTCCTTCTCTACCTATTTGAATATTGTTGAAATTATAGTATACAAATTTTTATATTATTTCTTTGTATTAAGAATTCTACATTTTGGGCCAGGGATTTAGCTCAGTGGTGCTGCACCTGCCTCACAAGTGCAAGGTCCTGAGTTCGATCCCCAGTACTGCAAAAAAAAAAAAAAGAATTCTGCATTTTAACTTTTTCCATTATTTCATAAAGTTTCAAGTTTTTCCATAGGTTTTAAAGATTAATTCAAATTTGGGGGTGGAGGCAATTTAGAAATCAACTATTTTATTCTGTGAAGATAGAAAATGTTAAAATGCAGTTCTTACTTGCTGAGTTTGTCTGAATTCTTCCAACAATTTTAGTGCCATATCATAATCTTTCAGCAAATGGTATGCAATGGCATATCCAATCCAGGAAGCATGCTGTGTTGGACGCAACTGCAGAAGCTGGTATCTTGTCTCCTTTTAAAAAAAATTCTTTTTATTTTTTTAAACTTTAATTTTCTCCAAAGTGTTTATATTTCATGAGTTTTAAGAAAACAATCTAACATGTTTAACACTTTTTCAGTGAAGACAATAAATATCAGTTTCAGAATAGTATAGAAATACTTTTCACATTTCTTATCAAAATTACATAAGTTTTCTTATTAGTTATATTAATACTCTGTAAATATTGCAAGGCTGTCAAGGAAACCTTATTGTGGGGGGTCATGCCTATGGGCTCTCTTATAAAATTACGTTATAATAGGGCCGGGGATTTATCTCAGTGGTTCCACTGCCTGCCTCACAAGCACAAGGTCCAGAGTTCAATCCCCGGCACCAAAGAAAAAAAAAATACGTTATAATAAAAATTTCTTCTTATAAATTTAAACATTTTCCCCTGGAAAAGACTACAATGGTTTTTTATTTTACTAGATTCTTTAAAAGTATATGAAATACAATCTATTTACATTGTCATAACTGACCCCAGAGACAGGATGAACACAGCTAAGGAAAACAGACACTGACTTGACTCCTCTAGCAGAAACACACACACTGTCACTGTAAAACAGCTCAATTTCTTTAATATTAGGGTCAAATCACCATATATTCAATCATGGCCTAGAAAAATCAAGGTATCTGCCTGAACAGAAAAACCAACCTCCCTACAGAGACCCCATGTCTCAAAGCTCATTTTTTTCTTCAAGTTTTAAAAGTGATACTGCTTGGAAGAACAAGGTGGCATTAAGAACATTAACTGGAAAAGTGTTCAAGTTCCATGATTCCGTTGTTAAATGGTTAGAATGGATACCAAGTGAGTCCAAACACACCATATGCCACAGGGATAATTTTCCATTCCTTTTTAAAAAGAAAACTTTGATAAAAGGACTCAGCCCCTACCCTCATGTGTTTCTGGTTCCTTTAAGCATATGACTCTATCTCTTGTTTTCATTGTTGTTTCTCTGTCAGTCTCACTCCTTCATTAAAGTCTGGATCAATTTTCTCCTCTCTGCCCAATCCTACCATGACTCTGGGAAATGCAACACTAACCACGCTAACTACAGCTCTTACGCTACCAACACTCACTTGGTGATATTCCTACTTCTATTCTTTGACCTTACAAGTATCTCTAGTTCCATGGGTCTTTTGCTTTTACCACCATTGGAATGCCAATATTTGTCATTTCTATCCTTCATAAAAGGTAGTAACCAGGGCTGGGGATTTAGCTCAATGGTCCCGGTGCCTGCCTTGCAGGCGCAAGATCCCGAGTTCGATCCCTGGTACAAAAAAAAAAAAAAAAAGGTAGTAAGTGAATTTCTATGCTTACTAAAGTGAATTTAACTCCTCCCATACCCAGGTTATGCACAGCTGAAGAAACACACACATACTCCTTGAAGAACAGTGCCAATATAAAGTTCAGTAGAGCTCCTGAAACTTCTGAAAACTTTTGGCAGAGAGTTTAAGCCCTTATATGGCAGGGGGAGGGCAAAAGTAGAAATGAAGAATTTATTTAAAGAGAACTGTTAGGAGTTGATAGCTCCTGCCAGGCTTGGTGGCACACACCTGTAATCCCAGCGCACGGGAGGCTGAGGCAGGATTGCTGAGAGTTCAAGGCCAGCCTGAACTGCATAGTGAGACCCTGAATCATTAAAAAAAAAAAAAAAAAAAGTTTGGCCAGGGATTTAGCTCAATGGTGCCAAGCCTGCCTCGAAAGCGCAAGGTCCTGAGTTTGATCCCCAGTACTCCAAAAAAAAAAAAATAGAGTAGCTAGCTCCTTCACATAAGAAAGAGAGAATTAATTCTAGACATACTGATCCTAGGACACTAAGTAGAGTAAGCACATGGAGATACCCAACAGAGAGTTGAAGGCAGAACTTTGAAGAGGTCTAAATTGCAAAAAGATTGACTATGGCAATCCTTCTCACATTATTTTAGATTTACTAACCTGTCATAAAGAAAGCTAACCATGGGCAGGGATGTAGTAACTCAGTGGTAGAGTGCTTGCCTAGCACGTATAAACTCTGGGTTCAATCCCCAGTATGGAGGAAAGGGGACACTAATTTTTATGTTTTATTTCAACTATAAAAACTGAATGTCAAAGCCAGGCATACACTTGTAATTCCAGCACTTTTGAGGCTGAGCAGGAGTTCAAGGCTAGCTTGGGTTACACAGTGAGTTCAAAGCGAACCTGAACTACCCAGAGACCTATCTCAAAAAAACAAAACAAAACAACAAAAAAACAAACAACAACAAAAACACCAAAAATACTGAATATCAAATAGTACAGCATCTGCATATAGGACATGAAGATACTCTAGTTTTTTTTTTTAATTACATGAGTATACAATTTATCCCTATTTAATACTCAACTATGAAGTTTCAGAATTAAAACTGTTGGGGGGCTGGGAATGTAGCTCAGCAGTACAACATCTGCCTGGCAAGTGTGAGGCCCTGAGTTCTATTCCCGGTACAAAAAAAAAACTACCCAGAATTAAGTGACTTTCCCCTTCAACTACAGATTCACATGGTTTTAAATTTAACCTACTGTTATAAAACAAAATTCATGCTGGGCATGGTGGCACAGGCCTATAATCCCATTGTTCTGAAGGCTGAGGCCAAAGGATTGCCATGAATTCAAGGCCTGCCTACACTACACAGTGAGTTCAAGACCAGCCTGGACTACACAGTGAGACTGTCTCAAAAAAACTAAAACAAAACAAAACAACCCCAAAAAACAAGAAACAAAATTCATTTAAGACTGAAGTACTCACCCTGTAACCTTCAAGGTCTCTCATTTGGATCTGCAACAGAGGGAGATCCCTCAAGATTTGCAGATTATCTTTATCTAATTTGAGGGCATTTCGGTAGCACTTAATAGCTTCATCATATTTCTTATCAGAACGTTGCAGGAGCCCATATACATGCCAACCTATTAAGTTAAGGAAATAGAGACACTCAAAGACACTAGAATATACTATGCTGTATCTCTCATATAAAACCTTAAGAAAATAGTATTTTATTTCAGAATGATCTGGAGTCACAAGGAAAGGGACAGTGAGGAGTTAAAGAAGAAACCAGATCAGCTTTGAATGGAATCTGTTGCAGGGAGGTGATGGGCACATAGGGGTGCATCATTCAATTCTTTCCACTCTTATGTTTGAACTTTCTTTTAACAGTTTATGTAACTTTAAAATTTTCTTGGTAAAATTTCTTCGTATTTTTTCTCTTTATCCCCTCACTTTTTTTCCCAAGAAACTTCAACATTTACTTACACAAAAAAATAGAATTAGCTTTTAAAACATGTTTACAATATTTTTTAAAAGACATGGTCTCCCTGTGTAGTTCAGGCTAGCCTTGAACTCACTATGTAGCCCCAGCAGACCTCAAACTCATGCAATCCTCCTGCCCCAGCCTCCCAAGTGCTGGGATTACAGGCATGCACCACGATGCCCAGCCTTTAAACATGTTTACAATTGATCAATTCTAAAATAATGTATAATCATCATTTAATTCCCTAGTGACACTGAAGACTACAAAAAATGTTTTATTTATTATAAATTAAAGTCTTTGCATATCTTGAAGCCAAAAACAAAAACACACACAAAAAAACTATCGTACTTACATGCCCTCTCTCTTCACTCTGGGGTAAGCTATGGGATAGAAAAATAAATATTTAGTATTTTGAGAGAACCCTAAGCTAAATATGTAAAAACACAACTAACACTTTTCATGTTCAATAGTAGTCAACTGCTAAATGAATTACATGTAAAAAAAAATTTAAAATACAAGGGCACCACGTGAAAAAACCGTGAATAAACATATACACGGGCAAAAGAAAAACCAATTTCAAGGGTCCATCCTTTAAAAGTATATTTTTTTACATATTAAAATTCTGGCCAAAAAAATTATACATAAAGATTCAGTAAAGTAACAATTATTTCTCTATGTTAACAGAAACCAAAATAAAAATCAATATAATATCTTTCTTAATACTAAATAAAAGTTAGAGTTTGTGATGCTGGGGCATCATGCATGCTAAACACTCTACCACTAAGCTACACCCCTAGCCAAAATTATTTAAAAATAGGTTTCTTTTAAATTTTTCTTCTAAAATCTCTAAAAGCAGTTTAAGGGACACAAAGTTTTCTACAGAGATATGTAATTAACTAAATGTCATTATTTGGAATAGTAGGGAAGTATCAGTCAGTTCACATATGTTTAAGAAAAAAACAGGTTTCAAGTCACACATAATTATCAAACTATTCTCCAACAGTAAGCTCAATTCTAGTAAATACACATATACACACATACTTTATAAGAATTTTCTTTAAAATATGCTAATAAAAAGGGAAAAGTTAAACTTATATTACAAAATGTTGACAATTACTGAAGCTAAGTAACAGGTACACAGACTATATTAAATTCTGTTCTATGTACATTTGAAAATTTTCATAGCAGTTTTAAAATTTGAATTAGAAAAAACTAATAAATGAAATTAAACTATGTAACTGTTACAAAAGGATACAGACATGACTCTTGACATCATTACAAAGGCCTTTACAAATTCATATGCTTCTTTTTTTCCTAAACAGTTCAATGTTAAACCTTTCATACCCAAAGTCTCTGAAAAATAATTTGAACCTCTACTTACATATGAAGATTCAAATTATTCTCTTAGCAGTTTTATTTAAAATTTGAAGGATTACTACAGTTCCAATGCTTACAACTGTTCATGTTTTTACTCTCAGGACTTAACTCCAAGCAGAAAAGTAAAGCTACATTCAAATTTTTGCTTAGAGCTTAACCCAAATCTTTTTCTAAAATTCCTTAGGCTAGAATGGAGTTGCTGAAATGCTTTCTGTCTTTAGAGGACTACATCAATAAAACTAATGTGAAACATAACTAAAAATGTTGAACGTTTATGCAGTCAACAGGGAGCTGCAAATCCTTGGAATCCGGGGAAGTACAGTACTCTTTCATTGTTAAGAATCCTGGCTGTTAGATTTCCCCACAGTAGTCTCTCAACAGATAAGACATTACCTCCATGTTCGGCAAAGTTGGGGTTTGAAAGAATCATCTTGCAAAACTTGAGGCCATTTTTGTATTGCTTCTGTTCATAACATTTCTGTAAAAATAAATGAACAAGTTATTTTTAAAATAAATGTACAAAAGCTTTATCAATTGGTAGCACTTTTAACAAATATTCTTTTTGTTACTCTTTGCCAAACTACAATCTGAGTATTTTCACTTTAAAAGGAAATAAATAGGGAATTTAACTCTAAACCTCAACCACCACAGAAGCTAACTGAAAAATCAAAAGGAAAAAGATGTAGAAAAACATTAGGAACTCCAGTACAAGTTTTTGCTACTAGAAGAATGAAACCAATGCTCCCATACACATATATACTATCATTTACTGAACGGCTATGTATCTGTATAAAACTTTTTGTGTACCTTAATTTATAATTTTTAAAGCATAAAAACTGTACACATATCTTAACACACACATATATTGAATAGTTTTAAAAATCAGGTTAAACATACTTATCTTCTCGGGACAACCTAAGTGGGCAACCCAGTCCCCCTTTTGTCTCTCTTAAACAGAGCTCTTTCTTTCAATAAATTCTTCCTATTCTTAACCTCCATTGTTCCTAGAATTCATTCTTCATTTTACAGAACACGAACTTGCATTTTGGATATCTAGCAGGGTTGGGAGTTACATCTATTTCTCCATATCATTTTAGAGGTCTTCCCACCGAGAGACGGAGAGTTTTCTTTCATAGGTTCTAATGTTAGTCTTTTGCTTCATAGATTGTAACTTTTTGTTTTATAAGTTCGGGTTCTTGTTTTATAGATTCTTTTTGTTTCATAGGCTCTGGCCTTTGTTTCAGCATTTGTCTCAAAATTGTCTTAATTTTAAATTGTATGTTTTAAATTTTTGCAAATTGCTTGGTTCTCTTATGATACACTGTCCTTTGCTAAAATTACGTTTTATTCTCATTTTGCACATGTTGTGTTTGGACTTAGTTGCTTAAAAATGGTAATTCAACTTGGCCAAATACATCAAAGTGCACTCTGGTTTATCAGCAAGTCTGTGTAATGTATAACTGTTGTCTATTAACATTCTACAGGAATTCAACTTTTAAAACAATGATGGTTGATAAAAATAACAGTCCTCTAATATACTTTATACTTCAAAATGCTTGATATCCAGGTAAAATTATAATAGTTAAGCTCACCGCTCCCATTATAATGCTAATGTCACTGATCTTCTCTTCTGGGTGTTCAACCACTAAAGTTTAGAGACCAATATAGAAAGGTAACTGGGCTAAGAGGACAGCCAATATTTTGGTCCTGGCCCCTAAAGGTCAACAAAGATCCAAGATACAAGGAATCTTTTCTATGAGATCCTACATCTTTGGTAAGTCACCCAACCTCCTGAGCAGGGAAACTGCTGGACACCAAAGCAAAAAATGTACAGAGCATGTGCCAAAAGAGGGTCACCAAGAGGAAAAAGTCTCCCACACATTCACTGAAAGCAACATGGTCAAGCAAGGCTGTGACCCATCCTGATGGCTGACACTGACAGAGGAGCTGAGAGGTTCTATACATGGTTCCAAAATCATGCCTGAGGAGACCTAAGTGACCTTGATAGAGAGCAAGAAGTTCATATTGATTGACACAGGTTTCACTTTAACTTGGTCTTAAACACCCAGCAGAAAAGAATAACCAAAAGATGTTTAAACATAGTAGTAAAGTTAGATATAAAAAGGGGCTCTAATCGCTGACCCCTTCTGGCAGTTTCAAGCTACACTGGTAGCTGACCACAGTTATGGATCATTAGGAAATACTACGGTAGAATCTATAAGAGCTCAGCTAGAGTTAAATTTCTTAGCTAAATTTGTCCTTCAAATTGTCTCTAACTTCTCATAGCTAAGACTGGAGAGACTTACGACTTACAACTTCCATCAACAAGAGTCTAAGACAATCACTCACTATTTCAGTTTCTAAGTGTGACTCTTTCCCCAAATTGCCCTTCCATTTCAGTGCTCCTGCTTAGATTATAAATGGTCTAATTTCTTTAAAAATCTCTTTATTCTTGGGCCGGGGATTTAGCTCAGTGGTTCCCCCGCCTGCCTTACAAGCGCAAGGACCGGAGTTCGATCCCTGGTACCAAAAAAAAAACAAAAAAAAAAACCTCTTTATTCTTGTTGCCTAGAGGCTGCCAAACTCCAAATGGTCATATAAATGGAACCAATGACAAATGTGCTAGACTTCTTTTACCAGGATCCACCAGACTGACCTTGTAAACAGCTCATAACTGCTAAATTACAATACAACCTCTATGTCGGATTCTGAAGTCCTTTGGACCTTCTCTTTGTGGAAGGCTATTCCTCCTGGTGGAAACAACTTGTTGGCTATATTCATAGCAATCCTGCTGACCTTATTATTTGGCCCATGTATTCTTAACTGTTTCTTTGGCTTTGTCTCCTCCAGACTCAAAGCCTACCCAAGATAACAATGCCTGGCTACTATCGAGGGCTTTTAGATAGACCCTCTGTAGAGGAACTGACTGCTGATTACAACTATGACCCTCTTCAACCAGAAGTAGCCAGAATGGAGTTCACCCTTTGACCCTTACAGCAGTTAGGGGTACTTGTTTAGAGGGGGGAATACTGTAGATAGGTAAGTTAATTAGATATCTTGTAGGCAGTTAAGACAGGGCTGGCCTGCAAGGGAGCCAACACGGAAGACAATCAAGGACCCAACATGGAGGATAATCAAGACACATTCACTGAAGGTCAACTATAAAAGAAGAAAAACTACTGTACCCTCATGCTTCCCCTAGGGATGAATAACAGTGATTGATATTCTAAATAGGTATCAATCACCTGGGTGGGGGCCAAGGTCTTAAACCACCCTTTCCAGGAAAGATCCCCAACTCACCCCTTAACCTTGCTCATTCCTTGTATGCTTGCTCCATGATTTACTTCCCCATTGGATCCCTATCTAATCAATATTGGACTGGAGAAGGAAGGTGGCCAGTTGAACATGCGGGGGAGTGGCGCTGCCCCTCCCCACTGTCTGCCATCCCAGCTGCTGTGCACTGCGTTAAAAACGACAACTCATGCCAACCATGAAAGATCCAAGTCATAACAGTACTAGCCCAAGCATCATCAATGAACATGTGATTAACAGTCATTCTCATGAAGATGACAATCCATTTGCAGAGTACATGTGGATGGAAAATAAAGAGAAATTCAACAGACTAACAGAAGAGCATTTGTGGGAAGAAAATTTTATTGAACAATGTTTCCAAGAAGTGCTGGAAGAGGAAGAACACAAGTGCTTTATTCCAGCTTGAGGTCTCCCACAAATATGGACCAACTCCATTGGTCCAAGACCAGTTTAATGACCTTGTTATCAGTGATGGCTCTTCTCTGGAAGATCCTGTGGTCAAAAGCAATCTGAATCCAAATGCAAAGGAGTTTATTCCTGGGGTGAAGTACAAAAATATTTGAGTAGATGGGCCCTCTCGGTGGATGTAGCACAATTTCTGCACTGTGAAGGTGTATTCAAAGACTTAATTGAAAAAGCCCTCTCATCACTGTTACACTTATGCATTGCCAAAGATTTTGCTAGTCTTCCATGCTTAATAAAAGTGCTGAGGGCTGGGGATTTAGCTTAGTGGTTCCAGAGCCTGCCTCACAAGCACAAGGTCCCAAGTTTGATCCCCGGTACCAAAAAATATATATATTAAAAAAAAAGGTGCTGAGACTATTATTAAGTAAAAAGCTGTCAAACATTTACTGAAAAATAGAATTGGCCCCATAGCCAATACAATAACAGTGAGGAAAGAAGTACCAGTCAAGTTGTGACAAAGCATCAAATTAAACAAACTCTAAATCTTACTAAATTATCATCTTTGAGGCTAAACTGGTCCCTCAGGATTAACTAATACTTGCTAATGTCTACACTTTCTAGAAATGAGTAAATTTAAATTACATTTCAGATTTCTCAGTTGCATTTGTCCTCGTAAGAAAAATCTCCTTGAGGCAGGAGGATTGATGCAAGTTGGAGGGCAGCCTCAGCTACACAGTGAGTTCAAAACCTGCTTAAACTATATATAGCAAGACCCTGTCTCAAAAACACACAAAAAATATTTTTCCAAAAAATATCTGATAATGTGAAGTAATTCTATGTTGTTGGTGACTGAGGTAACAAGGTAATGATAGATAAGGGCTAATCCTGGCTTTTCTGGTATGTTTTGTGTTAGAAATACTGAATTCTGGGCTGGGGATTTAGTTCAGTGGTTCCACCCCTGCCTTGTAAGGGCAAGGTCTCAAGTTCGAGTCCCAGTACCAAAAAAAAAAAAAAGAAATACTGAATTCTTCTAATGATACAGTTGAGGAATATGTGATTTGAGAATTGTGTCTTCTCAAGATTTACCTCATCACAGCCATATCTCTGTGAAGTCTAATTTGGGACAAACACCAGCCTATAATACAATTGAACAAAGAGATTGTTACGTGATTTGAATAGTGCTTTTTCCTTGCTTTGTTAACCATCATGACAGTAGTCTGCAGCACAAGTTTTCTTTTTAACAGAGCTAGAACAGTTTTGGCTTCTTAAACTTCAACTATTTGGGTAGGTTAAGCTTCAGTGTGAATACTGTTTAAGTTGAAAATATTGTAAAAAAATTATATTTTTCAAAATTAAAAAAATAAAATAACAGAACTGAAAAAAATTATGTAAGCAACTATACTTGTCATAATCTTATCAGTTATTCATAGTTTTGTCCACCTTGTGATTTCTCATTGGATCAATATTAGCTAAGCAACTGTAATCTTACTAGTTGACTATAGTTTTGTCCCACTTTGAACCTGCCTCACCTCAGGCTTTGTCCTATAAAACACCTCTGAGAAGCAGAGTGAGCGGGCAACCCACTTTCCAGTCCTCCTTCTGTCTCTCTTAGACAGAAGCTTTCTGTCAATAAATTTTTCCTACTGTTAAAAAGAAAAAAAAAACCTATCTCTTCAAACATCATTTTCTTATGATGAAAACTTTCAAAATCCTTTCTTCTAGCTTTTTGAAATGTACATTATTATCTAATTCCGCAGACAC